CCTTCGATCAGAGGTCATTTGTGTACGACGACCTGTTATCCAATAAATGGGAAGAGAACGATAGATACTTTGGCCCCAAAAGCGGATTAAAGCAGTGGTGTCTGCTGCCCCAGCGATGGCTATCAATAAAGTAATTTACTTTTGGTGGAATTAATTTGTATTTAGGGTGATTTACCTTAAATGATTTATACAGTCGCTTTAACTCGAAGCGAGATTCGATTCGGAGATTGACGGACAGTTGTAATTGATAGAAGTTGGCTTGCCATTTCATGGAAATAATTACATGATTTTGGTGTTAAAATAGTAATCTATACACTTGGGAAATTAATTTGGAAGGTTTTTTATATATATTAAAGTTATTGATAGATTTTAGATGGTATTTTTGAGTATTCTTATAGGAGATGTACGGAAAAGTTTTATATGTTTGATCCTTGTATCTTATTTCCTTTGAAAATTAGTTATTTTTCTTTTATATCTTATAAAATATCCTTTTCCCATGACATTTTCTATCAGTTAATAGTGTCTATATAAGGTAGGATCGTAAACGCATCTATATTTAGATTTCAAATAGTGCTTATCGATATGTCATAAAGCGAACAATGAGTTATCAAGTTTTTCCTGTATATATAGGTACATAAATATACTCGATAATAATCCATTGGCATGACTTTTATTTTCAGCTAAACAGAAGTTAAATAACATTTATTTCAAACCTAGACAAGTACATTTCTCCTACCATCATTAATTTCTCCCTGCTTTTATATTTTATTTATTTAAAAAAGGTTTAGATTTTCAGCTTGAGAGAAAAGTCTTTTATTGAGGAGCCACTCGAATGAATTTTCCCCCATTTTAAGATCCCTCGTTTTATTATCCTCTTGGAGCACTCACTTCCCGCAGACACACACACTCAGACTCATCCCACGCTGCTGCTGATACCCAAGCATCCGATGAACTTTACTTAACCCAATTTCCTCTCGAAGCTCCCACAACCATTGGTCGGTTCTTTTAACTGCTTTTGATTGCCAAACATGAAATTACACAATTTGATGTGCACTTTTCGTCAAGAGTTTCTCGTTTCCACAAGCAGATTCGCCCCGAGAACCTTCTTCATCACAGCGTTGATGATGGCCACTTTATGGCCGATGACGATAAGAGGTTTCGTTCGTTGTGGGTTCTCTCACTCTCTGCTGTTGATAATTAAATGTGTGTTTATTGCATAAAAAAGTAAGACGATTCCGAGGGAAAATTGCGGTGGAGATGGACTACGCTGCGACGTGGGCAGTTTGCCCTTGCATTTAAAAATAATCCCGAACGGTGAGACGTTGCAACATTGCCTGCCTCTGCCTCCGTTCTGTGTTGCAAACTGAAAAACTAAAAAAAAAAAACTGAAAAGCTGAAAAACTGTAAACTGTAAACAACGAAACGGCAGCCACTTTTGTAAAATGCATTTTTGTTTTTTTTTTCTGCTCAATATTGATTCAGGCTTTTTTATTTTTGTTGGTCCTTCACTGCCTTTTTTTTTAGTTTGCAGCCACACACGTATTTATAGGTATGGCTTTTCCTTGTGCACTTGGGAAAATTGACTTTTATTTTAAATTTTTTATTGGGGAATATAGAAATTGAAGAAGGAAATAGAGATTTTTTAGGGCAGCTTATTTACCTCTTAAAATATATTCTTTGGTTGCCACCTACAAGTATATTAAAGCGTATTTTAAATTCCAATTTCTTAGAGTGCACTTTGCTACTATTTTTTTTATTTGCTTGGTTGTGCCTCCGAATGGGATTGCCTTGACAATATGATATTTTGTGCTGCAAGTTTAAGCCTTGCCCTCTACACTCGCCTCTCCCTTTATTAATTATGCAACCTGGGGGACTGCGGCACAAGACGCAAAACGCAAGACAACAGCCAATCGATCAATCAGCTTCGCTGCTGCCACAACCACACACAGAAGTGCAAAAGTACAAAAAAGTACAGAAGCGTTTGGTAACTCAACGCAGCGAAGCCGCAAAAATGTTGACAGCAGCCGCACAGTTGTTGCTTTGGCTTTTAAGTTTTAGGTGCTTTTTGTAATTTTTATTATGACTGTGAACAAACTCCCTGGCCGGCTCCGCAGCTGGTTTGCACTCTTAATAATTAGTTAAAGTTAAAGAAAATCGAAGCGACTGGCCTAAAAGCTGTTTCGCGAATAGCCCAGAAGGCACGATGCCAAGATACAAAATTGTATTTGGTAATTTCGCTGGGTTTATTTATTTTTCTGGTTTGGATTTTGGCATGCAACCGGCATTGGAGAAAATCCCACGCTGGCAATTTGCCTTCTTGCATGATTTTCAATTTGTTTATGGCCAGATTTAGCCATTGCGTAAATGCATTCAGAAATATAATATTTTCGTGTGCAGTTTTACGATGAGAACAAATTTTAGCCCATAATTTTGATATATATTTTTAATAAATTTTCAATAAACGAAAGAAACCTCATTGAGTTTTTTTGTTCATTCAACTCTCGCGGGCATTGTCGTCTTGCGGCTTTATTTTTAAAAATCTTTCTGCTGTGTTGGCGAAATAAAAACAAAAGTATAGCTTGGCGCAAATGTTTGCTTTCAACTATTTTTTGTTTTTTCCGGAAAGGAAAGGAAGTTGCTCCTCAGATAAGGTCTTGTGTGTGTGTGTGTTTACCTTTGAGTTCAATATTCTTTCTTTGCGATTTTTTTACTCAGAAATATCATTAGATTGTGACAAATGATATTGAGTCTGTGCATGCCTCTTGACATTTGCTATTTTTCTTGAAAATAGACCAAGCACGTGCTCTTCTCCCACCAGCATACCATATACAATTGCCAATTATAATGTAATTTTTTTTGCACTTGCCAGACTTGGCTAAGGTGTAAGAGATATAAAGAAATAGAGGCAAGGCATTATCCCATGCGATTTCATGTGTAAAGAATTCAGACAGAAATGTATTTTTAAGCCAAATAAAAAGACGAAAAAAAAAACAGACAAAAAACCATTTCAATCAATTAAGAGAGCCAAAAAACGACAGACGATGAGGGAATTGTGCGGGGACCACCATGGCGCTTGGCAACATATTGCTCTTTTTTTTAATTGAGCGTGGGATGTGATGGTTTCAGGGGTTAAACAAGCCCTTCAGTCGCTGATTGAAATTACGAAAGGGTTGTACTGACTGCTGGCTCTTTTATAAAGAGTAAAACTATGACAAAATGCTCGCCCACACAAGTGTGTCTGGCTTTTTCTTCGCTTGTAATTGAATTACAACTTTTGTGGTGTGCAATTTTTTTGCCTGCTGCAACATTGCCACTTAATTGCAGGCCGTGTTTTTCTGCTTTTCAACTCCTATTGCCATTTTGCCGATCTACAAATTGACTTTTGCTTTGTGCCTGTTTGCTCTCCGCCAACTGATTAGATATGCGGCTGCGTCTCTCGCCCGGGGAGATGTGCTAACTGTTTCAATATTTGAATTTCACTGGGCATTCGTAATTGCTGGACAAATATGTATCTCGAAGATCGCTCTCCGGAACCTCTCTTCTCGCATTTGCCTGTTAATTGTATTTGTAGTATTATTTTCCCTCTATACATACATTTATTTTTGACTGCTTGTCATAATAAATTAGGCACTAAAAGAGAAAGAAATGGAAAAAGACCAAAGACCCAGACTGAGCTCTTACATTTGTTCAACATTTGCGTTGGCCAAAAAGGCAAAAAGCATTTTTTTTTGTGTGTGTGCACATTCATGGGATTCCATTTCAGATTTTTGGCATTTGAAATGTGCGCCGCAGCTGTCAAATAAATTGTATAAAAGAAATAATAACAAGTTGCATTACTTTTTATAGCCGGTACTCGTGGATTACAATGAGTATACTATATATTGTAAGATTATGTGTTTTATGAAGAGAATTGTTTTCAATAATAGATATTTTCTGTTCCTCTAAATTTGACACTTCGCAATTAATGAATTTCATTTCAGCTTCTTAAATTCTTTACTTCTAGTACCTAAAAGTATGCAGCATATTTATGCACACCAAGTGCAGGGCATTTCCCTTCACTTACTTCATTTTATATCGCTCTTAAAAGTAAATGTAAATAGTAAGAAATGTCTGTGCCATTATATTTTTCTTTTGAGCTCTCAGATATTTGATTAATTAGGCATTCGTGTGCTTCCTACTTTTCTACAGAAAAAGCATAACTAATCGCTTATGCCTTGGCAGTTGTCAAATGCGATTTGCATTTGCAATCTCTCACAGTCACTGCCGTATCCCAAAAAGAAATAAAAATAAAAACTGCACTCATTGCCAGAGCAGATGATGCTGGGCTATAAAAAGCAGGCAACCCTCACCTCACCTTGACATGGTTGTAGGTTTTAGGTGTATAGTAGGTGTATTTTTTTCTGTGGGTGAGGTGGGGCGGAGCCCCGAGATGGCCGCCGAGCATGCAATATATTAATCCGAGTGCTCAGGTGCAATTTAATTGCTGCCAAGATTTGCTTTTTTTTTACGCGCCAAGTGGTGCGACGGGCGAAAAAGTGAATTAGAAAAGTAAACACAAGCACACAAAGTTGCGGTGTGGGGGGAAATAGAGGGGAATTATGTACTGGAAGAAATTGGGTGTATTTGTTAGATATATAATCTTTAAGAAACTAAAAAATATACATTCTTAAAAACCGCCAAAAGAAATGTATTGAATTTAAATATTTAAATGATAATTTCTTAGTAAATAGAGTTCCCAAAATTCGACTTACTAAAGTATGTTATGTTTCTCATAGTTTTTTTTTCCTTTTCTTAATTTAATAAGTCTAATATGCTTTCACATAAACGTAATTTTAATAGCTTTTCTCGAGTGTAAAAAATCCTCCTTGTGGCGACATAATGCAACATTAAGCGGAAAATTGTGTTGGGGGAAACGAGTTAGCATTACTTTCCATTAAGCCCACTCTCACCTTGGTTCTTATTTTCACCTCCTCTTTCTCTCTTTATCTTTTCTCTTGCAGAAACCATTGCGGCCTCTAGTGACTTATCCACAGCACCTGCCACTGCCAAAACTCAGGAGAAGAAGCTAGCGAAGCCGCTGCCAACTCAGGATAAGCAGCAGACCAACTCGGAGGACTCCAGCTCACAGAGGAGCAGTGTCCCGGTGAAGTATCGTGGCCAGCATCCGCATTTCCATCACCATACCACACCCGCCTACTATACGGATCTTCAGCTGAGAATCCACACACCAAATGTGTCGGATGCGGGAGCTTTAAACGAGAACTACCGCAGTGTCTACAGTACACCCAGCACTCAGTTGGTGGAACAGCGATCCTTTCCCAAAACCTCCACGGCAACGAGTGTGGCACCAGCTTCGTTTTTTCGTGGCGACTCTGCGTCCAGCGAGGGGCGCGCAGGCGGAAGTCGCAGCAGGAGGTCGCAGCCAAGGACCGGGAGCGAGGGTCGCTTCTTCAGATACTCTCAGGGATCTGTGAGCCCTACCAAAGGTGAAGTTAGCCACGACGGCAACGAGCCAGTCACGAACCACAACTCCCCCATCACATCCAGCACGGTCATAAGTAGTTGTAATCCCGTAGAGCAGGCTAGTCCCGTAGTATCCGCCTCCGTAACCGTATCTGCATCCGCATCCGGTCGCAATAGCCGGCACAAGCAGCGTTTCCACAGCCGATCCCGGCGAGCGGTGCGCGTGCGCAGTGAGTCGCGTCCCATTAGCGCCTTATACGACATAATATGCAAGGAGAAGAACCTGGACGTGGGTCACACCAGCAGCAGCAGCAGCAGCAGCAACGAGGAGCAGGAACGGGAGAAGGAGAAGGAGCAACCGAAAGAGGATCAATCCCAGCAGGACTCCCCTAAGACCCCAACCGACAAGCTGGCGACCTTTTGGCCATTGCACCATCACTACCTCAATCCCTCGATGAGCAGCAGTGGCAACTCCAAGGAGCCAAAGCAGCAACATCTGGCCAAGGATCTTCAGCTCCCAGGAGGCTCTGCCTCCGGGGCAAGGGGAGCTCCCTCCAGCAGCGACGATGAGGAGGATGGCCTTCATCCCCTGCACTCCAGTCACAAGGTCACCAACCTGAGTGTCAAGGCCAACTCACTGCCACCTGCCACCGAAGATGATTCTATAGCGTCGGGCTCCCAGCTTAAGGGTAACTCTAGCCGGCTAAGTCTACGCCTGGCCAAGAGTCTGGAGCGAGCAGTGCCCGTTTCAGAGGATGCTCCTTCCTACGAGGCCCGTGCCTACGATGCCCCTACCTACGATGCCGGGAAGCCCATCAACACGGATAGGTTATTCGTGGAACCGCCCAAGCTACCCCTGAGGCGCACCCTCCACGACAATGATGAAGAGTACGACAACACTTTGCAGTTCAATCAGAATGATGTTGTGGACACTTTGGATCGCTGGGGCCAGGAACTTGGCACTAGTGCGGGCCAGGAACTGGTCAATGGTGTGTCGGCCAATGGCCACCAGTCAGATCCCGAAGCAGATTCACCACACGCTCATCCATCTTCATTGCAACTAGTAGAACCCAAGCCACATCACCACCATCAGGCCACCAATGCGCGCAGGTAAGCTGTGAGAGACCACACCCTATCCCCTGCATGGTATCCAAGAATCCTTGTAAAACTTCACTCTTCACCAGCGTCACCCTCCCCGAAATAGTCTGTATTGAATCTGTTGCCTGCGCAATTAAGCGCATAATTAGTTCTGTTTTCTCGTCGTCGTTAGGTTAGGGAATTGGTTGTCATGATTACGAGTCAGGTTGGGAGGAGGTGTGGGTGTAGCCAGCATGATGTTGCTTCAACCTGGCTAATTAGGCCAGCACAGTGAGGATTAATGGTAGAAAAATATAAATAATATTGAGTAAATACAAATTTTGAGAAGATGATAATATATATTTAAGAGTAGAGGATTTTATTCCCATTTCCCTCCTCTATTTATTTGTATTTCTTTGCTATTTTGTTGAGCTCCACTGTGCTTGTGCTGGCTTTGATTGGAATTACTTCGGGGTCATCAAGCTGATTACCATAGTAAAAGGAGAGATGAGCAGGGAGGTGGAGCAGGTGCGTGAAAGCGTTTTGTTCCAGGAATACTGCGGCTGATTAACCCGGCATAAGTATAATGCGATTTTAGTAATAGGTATTATTCTATGGACCGTGTTAAAGCTGCTCTCTCTCTCCCCCACTATAACCATATTTCCAATGCAACTAAGCTGTGTAAGCCTGGGCCGCGGACACATAATCCTTGGAGTCACAATCAAAACAAATTGGCAGCATTGTGGCACCACCTCTTTCTTGTAGCTCCTCAATATGCTGCTATCTTCGCTTATATTGTCCGATGTCGTGTTATACAATGGTCCCCGACTTGGCGGCTCTCTTTAAGCCGGGCCCCCAAACAAATCGGAGATTTGGGTAGATTCACAGAGCCAGAGACAGGGCAGGTGGGGGCTTGTTAACAAACAAAATCCATGTATTGTTCGCTTCATATTTTTTTTCTCTTTGCCTTTGGGGTGTTACGTGGTCCATTGTTTGGGGGTTTGGGATCGGATTTTGGGATCGGTATCGCGGCGACATCTTCGGCAATATCGCATCAGTGCGTGGAGAGTGCAATTCGCAGCGGCGGCAGCCGGTCTCGGGTCTCCCAAGACTCTCCAGTTCCATCAATTATAATGTGATATATCACAAAGCGAATGGCACATTGTCGCTGATGACCCCATCCGAACCTCCAACCTGGGCACGACCAACCAACCAAGCCGATCGACCCCCCCATACCCGAAAAGAAATGCCGCGTAGAAAGCACCTGTTTTACAGGCAAACCCGAAACCGAAACTGAAACTGAGACCAAGACCAGCGACAAGTTTTTCCAATAGGCTTTCGCTACAAAAATGCCTCATAAAAGCCGCATCAGCAGCAGCAGCAGCACCTCCACCAAACAGCATAAAAGAAATGAAGAGTGGTAAAAGCGACAAGATTTTCTAAAATGTCTCGAAAATGCATTCAATGTAGAATCTTCGGTGAAGACGAAAAAAAAACAAAAATTTGAATGCCCGGCAATTAAGTGTGGAATTTATCTGGTTTTTATTTTATGTTTTCGATGGTGTCAACACCGTCATCCGATCACCTGCTGTGTCCACCGCTTGGGTATCCATATATTTAATGGCCAGTTTTGAGCCTGGCCCAGATCGTCAATAGTCTCTAGTCCTGGTTTTCGCTTTCCTCTCGCAGCTGCTTGCTGAGCTTCGGCCTCCCAAAAAAAAAACACAGGAAAAACAAAGAAAAACATTCACAAACTGGTTAAACACGAGACTCGCTCACCTCATCATCACTTTTCCTTTTTTTTTCGTTCGGTTTTTCCAACGAGTTGGAAAGTTCTCGGCAATCGCAGATTCCTCCTTCAGTAGCCAGCAGATGATACGTCATATGCGTCTCTAGCAATTTATACAATTTATGGAAATTTCCATTTGACGGGCGGACAAAGTCAAGCGAGAGCAGCAAGCAAGAATCTAAAACTGAAAAGCAAAACAAGCTGATGATCATCTAAATAATAATCAAGATTGAGATTAAAGGCAGTTGGAAGAGTGTGAAGGCCTGGGGAATACCCTTGAAATTGAATTCCCAGAAATCTTAACCCTAAGGTCAACCGAAAAGAAGCTGCTTGTAAAGAAATTCAGAAATAATAATTGAATTCAACCTCTGTTTGTAATTCCAATGAAATGAGGAGTCTTCAGCTCGATTTAATTATTTGTTTGTCTGTCAAATGTGTCTGATCTTAGCATACAATTTAAAGACAATCTACTTTAAAAATTAGTTTAGCTTTCAAAGCAGCCAGACAGTATCTCGTATTATTATAGATTATAATTATCCCAGACTCCAGACTCACTTCTTTTCTAAGGATTAATCCCTCAATAAATAACTTTCAATCTCCAGACATATTATTTTCTTCTTGGGCTAATCCCTTAACCTACTTCCTGAAATCATAGCCTCACTCCTTCGGGATAATTCCCACTGTTTTGGTTGGAAATGATCATGCCTTGCCTCTCCACACAGACGAGTGTACTGAAAAACATTGTATCTTTGTGTGCCATCGTCTCGTGCCATCATAAAGTACACAAAGCAAAAAGTGACATTGATGCGTCGCGACATTTAAATGTGCAGCAGCCTGTCTACCTGACAGACCAATGGAGACAAAACAAAAAACAACTGACTGACGGACAGACTGGCGGAAAAACAGATGGGCAAACGGTGGGACAGACTCATGGACGAACTGTGGCATGTCTGATGAATAAACTGGTGAACTGATGAATAAACTGAACTGATCGTCGAGGAAACGGATAAAATTATAGCTTAGCTAAAGGATAAAATAATACATCTCGCCAAAAACGGATAAATTTGTAGCTTACATCTGGATAAACTGGCGGACAAATCTGACGGACAAACTAACGGACAAACTACAGGGCAAACTATAACATAAACTGTAGGATAAATATAAGGATAACATAAAAGAGGGATAAACTTATGGACCAGCTAACGAAAAATACAAACCGCTTTTCAGGGTCAAACTTGCGGACAAATGGACGGACACAATACCAAGAAAATTTGACGGATAAGCTAACCGACAAACGGAAATATTGAATCAATTATCAGGATGGAAAACATGAAACTAATATAATACTACTAGCTAAAAGACAAACTTAGAAAAAGACAAACAAACTAGTTGACAAACATATTGGCGGACAAACTTACGGACAAACTGACGGACAAGCAACTGACAGACAAACAAACTGACTGACTAAGGGATGCCCCACTAGAGGACAAACTGGCACATAACCTGACCCACTAACAAACCCTCTAACAAACCGACTAATAAACTAACTAACAAACCTTACAACAAAAGCGACAAATAGACAGAGCCAAGTCTGAGACCGCAGTCTTTCGCTTCATTGACTATCCACAAGCAAGCTGCAAAATTCTTCACTCGCTCGCTAAACAGACACAAAATGCATTGTCAGCCGAAGAGAGATGAGATGAGGAAGTGTCTGCGCTAAATGGATATCGCTTACGGGGCGTACTCTGAGATACTTTTGCAGCTGGGAGCTACCTGCGCTGCGCCGCCGCCTGTTGCGCATGCGTGCAAATGGTAATGCTCGGCAACGGCTCGGCAGTAATAGCAATCTATATAACAATAACAAACTTGTTACGCTTTGTTCTTTGACGGTCGAAGAGATAAAGCCTGTGTTTGTATCTTGTATCTGTATCTCTGACGGCATACACCGCTACCTGGCGCAAATGTGCAAATTTTTCGGGCACTCTCTGCGCTCCGTTTTCGAGTGATTTCTGCTTTGAGTGAGTTGAGTGAGTTTTGTGGCCATGTATCTGCAAGATACCAAGCGGCAAAAACCCAAAAAAAAAATCCAAAACAAAACAGAAAAATAACAACAAAACAAAAAGCAAACCGAAAACCGCTCTCGTCGAGTCGAATCCGTGGGTTTCCACTGTGTTTGCTGGGCCAAACCTCGGCAGTTGCCGAGCGTGTTTGCTGCCGTCTAGCCGTGCCGCCTCTAGCGGATGTATCTCTTTTCGTAATTCTCTGTTCCGTGTATCTTTCCATCTGCCGGATCGTATATCTCGTTTTGGCTGTGTTCTTTTTGGCATGTGTGTGTTGTTTTGTTGCCGTGAAAATTAAATTAAATGCTTATGACTTAAAAAGAAATAAAACTATAAGTAATCGAATGTCGCCTTCGCAGATTTATAACGCGCACCACACGCTCCGCCAGTCGCCAGAGTTCCGCCGGACACTCGCCGCCGCCGTTTGTCGCCGGACACAGTGACTCCTCCTGCAGCTCACCCTCGCCCACTAGGAGACGGAATAATAAGCAACCACAACCAGGTGCTGCCGCAGTTGATACCCCATCCTCGGCGAATGGTAATAGTTCCGCCTATGAGACGGCAGCCACCACTGTGATGACCCACGGCCCGGCCACGCCACCACCATCCTCGCATCATCATCATCACCAGCATCACTACCAGCTTAATCCTTGCGCTGCAGTTCTTAAAACTCCGTCGATAGAGTCTCAGCCAGGAGCGATTGTCACATCCTGCCTCGATTCATCGAACGCCATCTCAGGTGAGTTTTGATTTGGTTTGGTTTTTGTGTTGTGTTTTGTTGCAAGTTCCAGTGATTTGTCTTTGATTGTCTTTGTCTGACTTGTGTTTGTGATGTCCTAGTTGCTGCTTTCAGATCCTGTGCTTCTTTAGCTAAAATGTTTATAAATTATGGGTCCTGTTTTTAAGATATTGTTTACTTACCTACCCTTTTTCATAATTTGTCAGGAAGTCAGGAAAATCCATTGCATATCTTCGACAACATATCAATTACTCTTATTCTTTATTTATCATATATGTATTTATTTATCATATTTCTTTTTAAATCCTTCGTAATCCCTTCTGCCTTAGCTCTGGCTGATCATTTACAGAAAGCTTTCGATTATCTTATATAAATTTCAAAATAAATGTAAATACGTAATTGTGTTCTTCCTTTATCAAAGAAATATCCCAGTTGATTGCTTTTCGATCCCTGTTATAATTATTTCCTCTAGGGGTTGTTATGTCCCAAGAGTTTTAAAATTTCTATACAAAGAAGTCTTTGGATATTACCTTTCTTTTTTACCCACCTGAGTTGATCATTTTAAGATCACCCTTTATTTGAGAACTTGATCCCTTAGATCAATTGCAAACAACCCTTATAGACAGTAAAGGATCCCCTTTTCTGAAGAGTTACCCACTCAAGTTGCTCATTTAATGAGTTTGTTTATGAATCTGACATTTATACCTTTCAAAAAAAATCTACCTTGATTCATGATCATTACTTTAAGGCTCCATTTCCTCTAAACCCTTTAAGGACCCCTTTATTCCAATCTCTCATCCTTAAATCTCCCCAAAGAAATCCACCAATTATCTCAAACCCTTCACTGCCATTTCTCTTGATCGTTTTTTGATCTCACACTTTAATTTACCTTCTCCCTCCCGCTTCCTTTATTTCGTTTTTTCTGCTTAACAAATTCATTAATTCTTGGGGGCAAACTTTCCCAACCAAAGTTGAGGTAATTAGCCCGCCCCATGCCGACTCAGCCCTGAACCGCGGCCTGTCAACGTTTTCTGCAAATTAGCCAAAATAAAAAATAAAGAGAAATAGAAATAAAACCAACTCCATTATCGGAAGAGGCGAGACAACACCGGGTTTCTTCGCTGCCTTTTTTTTTCTGCACACTTAAAAGCAATTTAAACTAAATTAGATTTTTGTCGGCTTGCCAATCAAGCGAAAAGCGTTTTCTAGACAAATGTTAATTTAGACCGAGAGACCTTCGGCCGCAAAAACATTTAAATCAAATTGCAATTGAGCAACTCGATTCAAGTCGAATCAATTCGAATGTTTTCAAATGTTTTGACTGCTGTCAGAAAACATCTAACAGGTCCGAATTATATAAAGCGATTTGCGCAATTTATTTATTCGCATTATGAGTTTATCGAGCGGAGGTTTCCCAAGCGATAGGTTTCTGCGAAAAAACTAAAAAACCAAAAACCTGCGTATAAATGAATAAAATTGTTTGTCATTAAATGTAAAATCGAACCCAATGAACGAGAGTCGGGTCTTCACGCAACTTAGGCAAATGAAAGATGCCATAAAATTGCTAATAGGTCCCCCGTCTTCGAAGACGAGGCTGTGCCCATTTCTCTGTATTTTTTATATATATTTATCAATGAATGGATCGGAAATCGGGTTTATTATCAAATGTGGACATGGGTTTCATAAATTTCTGACAGACGACACGACCCCTCTTTCTTTCTGTTTCTTTAACGGTTTTCCGGCTCTCGAGAAAGTCTCCTACCGATCTTTGATCTGCCTATCACTTGGTTATGGGAACGCTCCGTTTAATCGTTAAGATTTACTGCAGATTTGTGTGCGCGGCCACACACAGAACCGGGAGGGTTCCGAAAAATAATAATAAACACAGTTTTTGATGATCGGCTCTACCGCCTTGCCATATCGATTTCCCTTCCAATTGTTTCGCCGTTGTTTTGTTTTCACAAAGCTTCTCGCATATGGATTTCAATATTTACCAATTTGGCAATTTTTTCCCTGCTTTTAATTTGATTTCTGTGCCCCTCTGGATGGGCCAATGATCGTCAGGAAAGTGTTGGGAGCGTTCACTGATCTTTGACAGACAGGCAGAAAAGGCAATGAACGGGCGGAGATTCCCGGAGATGATTTGCTCAAAAAATGTGTTTTATTTTTCTATTTTTTTGCGCCCATTTCTTGTGCTTCGTCTTCTGTGTGGATTATGAAATCGTTTTTTGGCTTTACATAAGCCACCAGCCTTTCCAGAGGGCACACAGAGGAAGGTTAAGAGGTGTGGATTACAGTAACGTGGCTTTTGTTTGTTTTAAAAGAATTTTAGAAAAATTTTATGGAGAGATTTGGTTTTTGTAGATTTTTTTTTATAAAAGAACTTTAGAGAAATGCTAGAAATTCTATGGAGAGAGTTGCATGTGTCAGAAGGTCGATATCTTTATCTTAATAAAATCCCATAAAGGTTCATTTAATTTTTAATATTAATAATGAAATACATTAAGGGTTATGTGGACTTAGGCCTTTTTTTTAATTATTAAATTTCAATTTTTTTTATATTTATTTCTGATATAACCTTAGATAATTGAATACTTTTCACCATGTTTATTTTATGCTTAATATTTCCCAAATTTCTTTAAAAATCCATTAGCCAACAAGCCCCAATTGATTTATACAGCTCTCCTCTAGTAGCAGTTATTAAGTGCCCATTATCCATGTTTATTTTTGGAGAATTCCCACCACATATTTACCTCTTTAGAGAGTCATAAATTCTGGTTTATATTTACGAGCGAAATCTAATCGATCGGCGATAATCTAATCGCTGCCTTTTTGTCAGTTTAATGTTTTCGAATAGCTCTATTAATGATGACAAGTTAGGAGTTAATACATCATCATTAAAATGGGGGCCAACCTAATGACCTGAGAGATCGGCTCGAAAAAAACTTTCCTCGTTCATCTTAATGCTTTTCTTTTGTCACAGCAAAAGCACTTTCGCAACAATCAACGTTTCGTTGTCACCAACCAATCAATCTTTGCCAGAGTTTAGATATGAGATTTGAGATCTTGAGTCTTAAGTTTTGAGTCTTTTTCTTCCCCTTGTGATTATTATGCAATCGAAACCTTTCACGAAAAACAAACAGCAAACCACAACACAAGCCGCAATCATATGCTTTAATGTCTTTACTATATCAACAAAACAAAATCAAACAAAAAACTCCACGCATTACAAAAAAATAACAGCCAGCAGCAGCCAAAGAGGAGGAAAAGCTGGCAAATGCAGTATTAGTTGCACCAACAGCCAACACAACAACAATAACTGCAACACGAGGCAACGCCACAGCAACATTAACAGCAACATAAGCAGCAGCAGCAGCAACAACAATACTAACCAACAAAAACAACAAAGCCAGGCCACGCCCATGCCGCCTTTAGCCACTGCTACAACATCGATTGCATCTTCACCAGCCAAACGCCGCAAGAATCCCGTGTCGCCACTGCGTCTGGGTTCGGTCTCTGTCGCCGCCTCTGCCTCTATATCCGCCTCCTCCTCATCCACCATTGCTCCTCCGCTTGCAATTGCCAGTCCGCTGCTTAGCGGCGGCAGTGGCGGCGGTGGCAGCTGCTCCTCATCGGCCACCTCGCCCCAAACCTCGCCAGCGGTGCGCACCACCAAGGCGAGTCGTCTGCGCGCCGCCGCGCTGGGTGAGTTTCGAGTTCAGACTCTTTCTCTCTATCTGCTATCTCTATTTTTGGAGGTCACCAGGTCCAACTCCCACCTCCTTTCTACCTCTGAAAACCCTAACCAAAGTAGTTTTGTTTTGCGTGTATTTATGTTTTAATCTAAATAAAACACACAGAGAAAAAATATTAAAAAAAAAAAGAAAATAAACTTTTTCTCTGTGTGTTTTTTTCCCACCCGCATTTCCATCATCCTCTCAATATTGTGTGTGCCTTCTCCCTGTAAAAAAAAAACCCGCAGATAAAAAGAAGGAAGAGGAGCAGCAGCGCCAACGTTATAGTTCACCCGTATCGCTCCGCATCGGAGGTGGACCCTTGGCCCAACGTCGCCTCAGCAGCTCAGAGCTGTCACCCAAATCGCCGGGTCAAGTCATCATTAGTGGCTTCAATTCAGAGCCAGTCACTGCGGCAGCAGGTTCGTCCAACCGAGGCCAGTCAAGATCTGCCTCGCAGCCGGCGGACACACCGCCCACACAGCGTCGCCAGCCCCTAGTGGCCGTCAGTTCGGGCCTCTCGATGAAACAATCCCTCAGCGAATTGCACTTTACGGGCGGAGCTGTGAGTCCGCCCAAGGCCTCGGCAGAGTGCACGCTTCGTATGCGACCACGTAGCTCCACAATGAGCACGGACCAGGGAACAGAGAATGGAACACGTGACCATTTGGCCAATCTGCAGCTAAGTCCTGTGCAGAAGCACAAGAGAACGGTAAGGAAATGGGTTTTTTAAGGGAAGGAAATCAGAAAAAACGAAACTTCTTAAAGAAGTTAAGGAGGAAACTTCTTAAACTTGATTTCTTTTCTTTAAACATTTATAAATATTAACAAGTAATTATAATAATTAATCTAACTCCACAGCCCGAAGTATCGCCACGTCGTTTGGGTGATCGCGACAAGTCGGCCAAGCGGAAATCGAATCTAAACCGTTCGTTGACCGAGGAAGCCACCAAGGATGGCGGTAAGTTGGCCCACAATGGATGCACCACATCAGCAACGGCACCAAAATTGGACTGTCTTCAAGCTTGAATGCGTATCAAATCGGTTTTTAAATGGAGAGCAGAGCAGAGCAGCTGCTGCCTTCGCTGGATTCACTCGATCTTTGATCTTTGAGCGTTAAGCGTGAAAATCATGAGCTTTTTTAACTACAATTTTGTGCTGTTTGAAAATGAAAGCTTTTCCATTGAGAAAACCTGTGTAAAATACGTTAAAATCCTCCAAGCTGTGAAAAGTCCCTGCCCTCAGTTAATGTTATGCACGTGTTTTGTCCAGTGGCTTTTTAAATTACTTTAAAAAATCTTTAAAAAATTCTATATATATTAATTAATTTAATTTCCTTTTTAGATGAGGCTGCTGCCTCTTCGAACCGCCGTCGACGACGTCGTGAACTGGGCATGGGCCGTCCTTTGGTTCCTGGCGATGACGAAGCTTTGAGGGATTTGCTTCACTCGCCGCTCAAGAGTTCCTGCAGTGAGTCCACGACCACGACCACCTCGAAGTCAGAGACCACCTATCGTCCAACGTATCCGGCCGTGCGTCATCCGGAGATTGCTGTGCGCACCATGACCGCTGTGTTGCCCACCCCAAGACCCTTGCATGCGCCTGTGGCAGCCCGAAATGTGACCCAAAAGTTCAATGAGCGAACCAAGACCGATCTGGCGGAGATCAAGAAGATTGCAGAGCAATCGGAGCAGGCACTGCAACAACAGCCTACGGAAGAGCCTGCCTCCAGCCAAAAGATGTCGGCCATATTGCGACGCAAGAGCACGGATGAGGGTGGAGCTGCAGCTCAAAACTCACCACCGGCGCCCAATCAAATTGTGTCTATACTGAAGAAAAAGGAGCATGGCCTGGGCGAATGCAACTCGAGTGCCTCTAGCAATGCCTCGCCAGTGACCTTCTCCTCAAGCGTAATGGATCCACCGCTGGCAGGAGCAGCTGCCCGCTGCAAGCGTCAGGGAATACTCAAGAAGCGTTCGAGCTTGGACGAATCACGCTACTATTCCCGCTCCCATTCGCCGGACGAGCGAAGCATACTAATCAAATCGGCACGCAGGAATTCTCTGGAAGAAGCGGGCACCGGCCTGAGTCCAGCTCATCAGGCCCATGGCATCCTCAAGCAGAGCAGCTACGATAGCAGCAAGAGCGATGGCTGCCCCTCGGCCAACGAGAGTCAGCCGCACAGCATCCTGAAGAAGAAGGATTCGCTATCTACGCCCTCGGATGGTGGATGCCACAAGCATGTATCTATCTCCCAGGCCGTCACTCTGGCAGCAGCTGAGCTGGCCGCCCATGATGGTGGCTCTACCCTGGAGGATGGCGTAGAAGAGCATGAAATTCGACCCATTCTGAAGCAGGAGAGCACCTCCAGCGAAGAGGCAGTGCGTCCCCCAAAGCCCATACTCAAAAAGAAATCATTTGGCGAGGCCGATGAGCACGAGATGATACGTCCCATCTTGAAGAGCTCGCGCAAGAGCAGCCGCGAGGAGTTCGACTTGAGCGGTCTGGACCATGAAGGCAATGCCGCCGATTCCCTATCCTCAATCCTCAAGAGCGATTCCCCTTCGAAGCGCCGGTCACTGGGCTCTACGTCGCATGACCTGGAAGAGTCCAACAATAGCTTGCTGAAACGTCGCACTCGTTCACTGGAGCGTCAGGATGCATCGCCTGTTATGGATCTGGCAGCGGCCTTGAATGCCATCTCCACGTCGCAAGCTGCTCCGAGTACTCCTGTTGACTTTGTGACCACACCATCCAGCATTTCGGTGGCTGAGCGAATCAAGCGCATGGAGATGCTGTCCTCACCCACAGCCCGTGCGGCTGGCGGGCCCAATGGCAGCTGGGAGTCGCCACTGGAAGGGTCGTCTTCCAAGGTAGAACAGCAGGGTGTCACGCCCAGGCTGCTCAAGCCGAGTGTTCTGCGCAGGGATTTGCAGAGGGAGCGATACAAGACACAGCCGGTGACCAGCGAGGAGAAGAGCTTGTAAGTTTGAGATTATTTAAATATTTTTAAAGTAGTTTATTAATTTATATTAAGAGTAGGGTCTCTTAAGAATGGTTTATGAGACCAAAATTAAGTCAAATTTAGGTTTAGAATATACGATTTTTTATAAAAAACTATTTATATTTTCCCTTTCTAAACAATTCTCATAAAATATTATTAAAATCTTACAATAACGATTCATTAAAATGTTCTTCATAATTTTATCTCTTTAAAAACCATAAAAATAATGAAAAGTGAAACTTAATAATCAGATTATAAATCCCAAAATCCGTAAGCTTAGGCAAAATATCCTTTCCTTTTCCGTCAGAACTTCTCTCTCTCTCTCTCAAAATTTCCATGGCAAAACTCCCTCGCTAAATTACGCATACGCCGTGTGGCCTGTCAAGCTGTCAACTGATTTCTGCAACGGACGCCGGTTTACGCTTCGTTGGACCAAGAATTCCAGACGCGAAATCCGCTTCTGTGCTTCTCTACATACACGAAATATCCACAATGCTATTTTTGGTCCGGCAAGCGCACATTTCTGGCTGGCACTTGGCCGAGCCTATAAATATTTATAACATCACGGTGCTGCTGCTGCGGCTGCCAGTGTCAAATGGAAGTTGCCACAGTTGTTAGGCCATTCATACTCCACGGCGCCGAAAGCATTATAATCCAGTCATGATCGGCTTAATTAGCTTTATTATTGTGGACATACTTGGCTAACCCCTGTGGGGTGCTCTGATATTAGCCATTTCTGATGAAATTTTCATACAACTTTTCTAGGAAATAGTTTTTGGCAATATTTTAATTGCATTTCCATTTGCTGCTTTGCCAAGCCATTTGGGGGAGGTTTTCAATGACCTCAATTCGTTGTCATATATTGTATGTAATTCACTTTTCTTTGCCGCCTTTTTAGTTTTTATTGCTGTTGTTGTTGTTGTTGTTGCTTTTGTCACTTAAGCAGCTTATGGCTTATTGCCTAATTACCTGCCCAACTATTGGGGTCAACAACGCGAGAACGCGAAATACAAATAAGAGTTAGTAATGGTTTGGTGATTAGGGAAGGTCGATTGGGTTTTATGGGTCGGAAGACAGGTAGGGGAAATGGGTTAAAGAAGGGTTAAAAGGGAAGAAAATAATGGTAAATTATTTGTGAATATTTCAGGTTAGGTAAGAAGGTACAAAAAAGGAAAGTACAGAGTACTTGCTTATTATTATTAACTATTGATGAGATTCTTAAACGTCTGTTATATATTTTTATCATAACAATGTATTAATGAAAGCATTTTGAAGCTTTTGCCTAGAATTTCTATACTAAGTAGTAAAAATTAAAATGAATTACAAACAAAACACTTTAAACTAAAAAGTAAACTGAAGAGTTTAACCCAAAAAATACAGCTTTTAATTTGTTTAAGCCATGAAATATAAACAAAATCAATTACAATTCTTAGCAAACCGCCTTCTTCCTTCTCAACTCCTCAAACTTCTTCTCAAACTCCTCCTCAAACTATCCCCCAACAAATTACTTCGAACTTAATTTACAAATTACTTCACTATAATTTCCAAAACAATTACATAGTTGTTCTTTGACTGCTTTGGCCACTAAGAAGAAGATGATGATGGGATTGTTTCTGCGAATTGCGGATTGGCCAATGTCATGCTCGTAAACCTAGTTTCTTCTTTCTAAAAGCATTCTTGAATCTTTCGACTAGACAGAGCAGCGCACCTCTACCTCTTTCAGCACACCTCGCCAGGTTTAACTGTGTTTTTATGTCAGCATTTTATAACTAGTCAGTGTGTGTGTTGTGTTGTCGGTGGTGAGTGTTTTGCTGTTATTATTATTGTTGCTCTTTTTTTCGGGGCGGCCTTTGTGTTGTTCCACTCTCTGTGGCACTCCCTTTGCTAAAAAAAAAAAAATAATAAAAAACCATCAAGAACAATAAGCCAGGTTCTGTGCCTCTTTTGTTCTTCACACTCTCGCTGGCTATGTCTGTCTGTTAGTCTTTCTGTCACATTTGCATTCAGCGAACGGCATATTGTCAATATATCTCTTGCCCATTTGGCCCCGACGCGGGCTCTGTGCCGTGTAATTTATGCTTGCCAGTTGCATTCAGTAGGTTGCAGCGCTCGAACGCGTCCAGTTACCAGATACTTTCGTATCTCGTGCGCCCTTTTTTCCAAATTCCAATTCCGTGTCATAACCGCTGCTGGAAGACGACAGGAGGATTCCCTAGAAGGGCGGCCGTCTATCGCTTTTGTTGTTCCATGTTGTTGCTGCAGCGACGTCAGAGTGAAAAAATGTTTGAGGCGTATATCAGAAAACGGTAAAAACAAGAAAGGGAAAACTAAGAACTAGAGGAAAATCGAACTCAAAGTGTAACAAAACATACAAGGAAATCCTTGAAAACCTTCTGGAACAATATAAACAAAACAATATGCACTCATTAGAGGAATAGAAATGATAAGAGTGTAAAAAACCCTGAGAAACATTAAGTAAACCATTAAATATAATTTTAATATAATTTGTTTTTTATTGCTTTAAAAACTGTGAAATTACAAGCTTAAAGAATTAAGAAAATTCAGAAAATAATATAAAAATATTCGGAAATGTAAACAAGATCTCACATAGATACAATTAAAGATTTAATAATAGCACAAATTAAATTAAAAAAATGCTAAAAATTTAATTTTGAATAATTGAATTTAAAAATATAAACAGTTCCAAAAAATTTAAGATTTTAAAAATATTGACAAACTATAAAAAGAGTGTCAAAAAAATATATATTTATTTGGCTTATTTGAACTTAAAAACTGATTTCAAATTTGCTTAAAATGTACAATTTTCTACATAAAAAAATGTGTTTTTTTTATATTTAATACAACAAAATACAATTTAAATTAAAACCCATTCGAATAAGTCCGAAATGTTCTTCTCACTTATTTTGAACTTATCACAAAAACCTCTTTTAAAAAACAATCAAGGCTTGTTGCCAAGTGTAAAGCCTTTTGAGTAAACAAAGAATCCGCTGACAAGTGTTTCGCGATTAAATCGATATAGCTTATATACGTCCAATTTGAAGTTATGCTGTATCTTCAATAATCTCAACCGATAAGATAAGTCCCACAAAAAGGAACAGTTAGTCAGCGATTGCGGAGACTTTGCTCTTTTCAATAATTTTTATTGGCTAAAAGCGAACGTCATAAATATGTCAATGAAGGAAATCAGTTTTTAGGTTTTCTATGAGCTAAGTAATTATTTTATGCTGCATGCCAGCCGTTGAGTCAATATTTTTTCTAAAAATGAAACAAAGATGTCACACACCTCAGAACTCGGTGGCCCATTCACAAGGAAATCTTGCCAAAAATAAAAATCTAAGAGTAACATTTCTCTCTCTTTTAACCGAACCAAAGAGAGCAGCGGGAAAGACTCGGAAAGACATTTCCCAGACACAGAGAAAATTGAAGGAAAATGGGGAAAATACCATACCAAAATAAATATAAAGCGCGGGGCAATAAAAAAGGCAAGAAAACAAAGCTGAAAATAATTTAAATTTGCCGACAGCGACGCAGCGTCGACGCTGGCAGAGCACCCCGAACCACGAACCACTCGACTTTTCTCTCGACGTTTTGTTTGTACAATTTTTGCGCTCAGTTGCTCGCGATCGCTTTTTCAATTTTCACGTATAACGCCAGAGCGGCAGCCGCGCTGAAATATAATTTATATTTTACGTAAAGCCAAAATAATTATAGACAAAAATAACAAATATAGTGTAAAAGAAATCGAAACTAACTGATAAAATTATCAAAGTAAATCGCAGCTCGGTCCGGTCGGTCGGTTTCTTCGGTCGTTCTTTCGTTCGCTCCCTTTCTTATCAGCTGCAGAACAAGATAGTATATAGAGCTGTCTATATGTGTGTTCCGATAGTTGAAGAAAAACCACGTTCCCCACGGAAATTCCTTGCCAGTTGCCTGCCGGCTGACAAGCCCACGAGCCGCGTGTGAATTTTTGGAAAGGTAGTTACTATAAATAAAACAAAAAATAAAACAAAATTCACGCTAAAGGAAAATGCCAAGAAAAAATACAGTGAAATGTGCAAGTTTTTTGGTTCAGCTCTTAATATATAAATTTCGTAATGTGCTAAAAATAAATTTCATGGAAAAATCACAGTGCAGCTAAAGAAAATACAGCATTTTCAAGTGCCAATTGATTGCCTACAAATTGTGCAAATATGCGAAAATATTTTTAATTATAAATAAGATTAAAAAAGTTGAACAAAAAGAAAGTTGCAGTGCCAATTCAAGTGTTACAGTTTTAAAAATAAGTTCTATAAGATTTATATGACAGTTAGAAGGCGTGAATTAATTGTAAATCAAACTTATAAACTATATAAATATAGTCACCAATTTTTGTAGCTCTATTTTTTATAGTCTCTGAGTATTTTTGGTTTGTCCGTATAGAAACACAAACAAACTGACGGACAAACGGACACTTATTTTGGTTTGTGTCACAGCTACGGTAGCCAAAACAATATCTGTTTTTTATGTATTAATTATATATATATTTGTTTTCCTCTGCTCTTCTCTTATTTTTATAAATCTTTGACAACTGTTTCCCCAAATCACGTTTATTTTTTAGTTGTTTGTGAAAAGATTTGGCCATTCTCTCGCTTTTTTAACCTCTCTGCCTCGTCCCTCTCGCTCTCTCTCTGTTCTGGTTGGACACTTTTCTGCCATTCCCAAATCCAATTAGCTTAGTTGTTGCATTTAAATTTTTGTATATTTTTAGTTTGTTTTTTCCGCTTCCTCTTCTTTTTTTTAACACTCATCGTGTGTGCGCCAGGCATGGAAAATGGAAAATGCTTTCGATAAACAAAACAAATATTGGAAAAAAAACTCTCGAAAGTTGAACAAGTTGTAGGTGAGATACTAATTTTGGACTGCAGAAGAATGCGGTAGAATGGAAAAGGTATTTTGAGAGGGTGATAAACTAGGGAGTTTAGTGTGGAAAAATATACACAAGCTGCCTCTTTTTACACCTTATCATCAATACAATTACCTTTCACTGTTGGCGCTTTTTTTTATTATTTGGCTAATTCTTTTGGCCATCATCGAGCTGGTAAACTTTTACCTTCGCTCACCACCTGGAGGCTCTCTGGCGGAATTAACCGAAAAATACCCAGCAGCAGCCGCCAGCTGTAAAGTTTCACCACCAAAATCATAATTAAAGCCAGACTAAATTGCCTATAATTATGTCCGAGAGAATGATAGAGAGACGAAGATTCACAGAGATTTACGCAGTGTCGTTTGAGCCAAGTTATGTAAATTTTAGCAGATACTAAAAACGTAACCAAAGTACTATGGGAACATCATATCAAAAAATATTAAATTAATTTTTCTTGTAAAGAAATATATGTGAAAACAATTTATTATTAACAATTTATTATAACAATATTAAATAATCTGAGGATACAATGTTTATCATTTCCAAAATCACATAACCTTATTAATTATTTAAACATGCCATTGTTTCTTATCTGTTATTGATAAGCATTTTTAGTGGCATTCTGTTCTTGAGATTATCAATTTTTCAAACCTCATAAAGTCATAAACTCTTTAAATTTGTTTGATATTCGCAAAGAATATGATGTCACACACGAGACAAGAGTTATTTTGATAAGTGAAATAAACCACAAAAATTTAGAAAATATTTTATTTTATATTAAAAAGCATAAAAGTTCAGTTTTTATATTATTCTATGTATTAATTAAAACTTATAATTTTCACCTCTTCCAGCTTCAAAGCCAACTCCGCGCCCTTTGACATCTCGGCCACGTCTGCCTTTAAGCCCACCAAGCCGCTGGACATCCGTTTGAGTCACGCTCTGCCACATCCGCCGCTGATCTCGCCCATAACCGGACAGCCCCTCAGCCACGTTCCTGCACCGCTGCTGCTCTCCTCGTCCACGCACTCGGGCGGAGCCTCGTCCTTTCATCGTCTCACACGCAGCTCCACACAGCCGCTGCAGTCGCCACGCGTTGTCCACTTGGCCAGCCAGGGAGGAACCACCACCAACCAATTGGCACGCCAAAATTCGATTAACGACACTAGCTCCGGCAGCGTCAATCTCAGCGAGCAACTGACTCTGTCGCTTGGGACGGACAGCGAACAGCACATCTTCGAGATGTCCGGCCTGGAGGAGGCGGATTCGGCCATTCAGTCGCTGAGCGATGAGACAGCCGCTTCCGCAACGTCAGCAGCCACCGCAACCGCCACAGACACCACAGCGCCATCTAGTGGACTGACGCGTAGCAATAGTGTGCGGGCCAGGGCCAGTATGTTCCAGCAATTGCAGGAGCAGTCGCGTACTCCGCGGGCAACGACGGGTGAGTAGTGGGTTCATCCCCACCATCATCATCATCATCCGCTGAGTTGCGAAAAATTAGCATGAAGCAATAAAGTAAACGAGCCAGCGACCGCTAGGTTGAACCCCAGTGTGTTTTGGCCCAAAGGGGCAGCCAACCATAGCAAGAAGGCCAAGACCACAGTAGCCAGAATGAAGGCAGATTAGAGCTGGGTTCGGGTTAAAGGGGAAACAAATCTTTTCTAGGAAAGTAGCAGTGCTATGCTATTAGGTCTAAATGGGAGGAAAAAATATAAGAAAAGAAAACATAACTATTTACTTTAATATATTATTCCTAAAGGTTTTTCTTTATATTTTATTTATTTATTATTAAAATTTATTTATTATTATTTTATTTTATTTATTTAGAGAGTTTCTGAGCATAAAAGTAATCATGTTTAGCTTTTAATATTCAGCTTTATGAAGAGGTAATAAAAGGATTTCTAGGATTTAGGAAGAAGAGCTTTCATGTGTTTAATTAGTATAGTGATCAATTTTAGAGCCTTCTCTCTCTATAATATATTTCCAGACCTAAATTTTAATTAGCCAAATAAAACAAAACCCCTTGAACCTCTGGTCAGTGTGTGTGTTTTGTCAGATTTTGCCATTAGCCTATCGTTTGTGGTGTTATTGTTGCTGGAAGCAAGCAAGCCGCCGGTTGTTGGCCAAGTTAATAAGCTGTAAAATGTATGTCACTTGCCGTCTGCGGCAATCACCAAACTAATTGAGGCCTGTGTGTTGGGTAACATTTTTAGTGACCAATATCATTGTGGGTGAAATTTCAAGGGGGAGAAGCTATATACGAGTATATAGGTATATATACATTGCGCAGGTCACTTGAGATTAGAAGTACATATCGAAATCATGTAATCTGAAAGCTAGGGCCGCCTCGAGAGGTACGTCAAGTTAGTGTCTTTTAAGGTTTTCCTAGAAACACATACGTTTTTTTTATAACTTTAATTAGGAAATGAAAAATAGGGTTTTATCACTAAAGTTACAGTAATTCATGAAGTTTTGGGTTTATTTTAATATTTTTGTAGGTTTCTAAAGTTTATTTTTCAAAGCATTAATTATAGAAACCTCTTAAAATGATATCTTTCAGGATCATCATCATCCCGACATTCTCCGCCAGCTGCAGCTGCCGAAGTATCAACTCCAAGTGCCGCTGATCATTCCCTGCCAAGTTCCGAAGAGCTGTCAACGCCAAATACAACGCTGGATGCCGAGTTTGGTGAGTTTTCTTAACTACAATCAATCATATATCAAAGGAAAAGTCAGCTAGGAGAAGCTAATGATATTCGTAATGATTCTTCAAAAGCTTTTCCAGCTGTTTTTCCCCCTAACATTTTCGTTTTACATTTGCACGATGCTCATAAATATATATTTTTTGGAATGACAAACAAATAAGACATATTTTACAATTCATAATATTTATTGTTGTTGTTGCTTACTCTGTGTTTGTGTGTTTTATTTTATACTTACACTAATTTATTAATTGTCTTGAATGCCATAAAGTTGCAACCACGCAAAATTGCGCAATTGAACGTAAGGAAAATGCATAAATAAAGCGGGGAAGAAAAAAAAGCAGAAACAAAACAAAATCATAAACTAATTTCGATTTTCCACTTGCATGTTGTTGTGGTGCGTCCATCGGTTTTTCATTTACAATTTTATATATTTTTTTTCTGCCATTACTTTACGCCAGTTTGAGTTCAAATTTAATTTAACTCTTTGTTATCGTTGTTTTTATGCCTTGTTGAATTATTTGCTGTTGCCGCATGAGAAAAACAAACAAAAAACTAATAACAAATTATTCTCAACAACTGGTATGTGTTTATGTAATTTAAGACGCGCTCTCTCGTGATTTATTTTCTGAATATTTCTACCATTTGCGGTATTTAGTGAACTTAATTAAGCGTTTATAATTTTATGGCATTTTTATTTACAACATTTTCAACGCCTCAGGGTTGTACTTCCTCGAAAATAATGTTTCAAAACGCACGCTCCTCCTGACACACTTGCATTGCATTGTCGATGAAGGTGAAGTGAAGTCAGTCAGTTGGTAACCTCTTTTTTCCCCCCATATCACTTATCGGTGGTCTGGTTTTTTTTATGGCCAACAGAAAACATTGGGAATTGGTAGGAAAAAAAAAGAGAATGAGGAGGGGACCGCACAGTGTTCTTTGTGGTCGCCCCCTGAAAATAAAGTGTCGTAAAATTTATTACCGATAAGATGAAATGACGCTGACCTTGACGTTGAGAGTTGATTTAATTTATAATTAGCATAAAGCATTGTTAAAAAAGATGTTAAAAGAAGATGCAAAATAAAAGAAGGGGTTTATTTAATAAAGAGCGCTTTTGAAAGCATTTTAAAGCCATTTAAATGCATTTAATTAAGGTAATAAAATATAAAATATTAATTTTTTTTAATTTGCTAATTTATCTTCTGAAAATTAAAAAAAAATATATAATTTTAATTGAATGTTCTTCTATAAATAATAATTTCACTGCTTTATTTTTTTATGAAGCTAAATAAATAATATTTTAAATTTTATTTAATCAAAGATATTTTTTAATAATCTGATATCATTTTATAAAAAATGTCATAATACGTTGCAACTAGTTTTCATTACATTCTAAGAATTAATTCTCTAATTCAAATGATAATTTTTTAAATAATTTAATTAATTTTCACAAATATTTTTTTTTTTTTTAAATTCGCATTCTGGGAAATAATCTTCTTGAAAGCAAAAAAGAAACATGACCTTTTCTAAGAAACAAATAACACTATCTTTGCCTCCATAGTCACCATAAAAAATTCCATAATTTCGTTGCTTATTCGTAGTTTTATCAATCACAAGCTTGCCCCGGACTCAGACCCAGACACAGAGATACTTGTCACTAATCACTCATAAAATGTGCACCCACAAAGAAAGTTCATATCAATTGAAAGAGTTTTGAGGCAGAACCAATATATCGAAAGTTTGCAAATGAAAATGAAAATTCAAGAGACACACATAAATAGAGAGATGTGTTTAGGGGGGACAAAAGAGTTGGCAAATTATAGAAATTGCTTTATAAATGCCAGACCAGACGACGAAAAAACTTTCCAATGGGGGTAACATATCTTCGTCTTTTGTGATAGGTTTAGAGCTTGATAAAAGAGTGAAAAATATATATGAATTATCGCGGCAACAGCAGCCACTCTGAGTGGGCAGTGGATAAAAACTGAATGCCAACTGCGTCTCTGACTTTTGTCAGTGGCCACAACTCAGAGAGAAACCACACGAGTAGGAACCACAGCAGCAGCAGTAGCAGCATCAGCAATAAATATATATTCCAAGCAGGCTGAGCAGGCAAATGCAATGCGTAAGCATGTCCAGAAGGATTAACCTTTAATCTTTAAACCCCTAAACCACCATCACAGAACCCTCGTCCCTCTCGCTGGCCGAGCGACTGGCCTTCTTCAGCAGTCTCTGCGGGAATAACAGTGGAACAAACAGTGCCAGTGGCAGGTACCGCAGCCGTACCAGCAGCTACTCAAGGAGTCCGCCCATTGATCGCACTACGCCCAGGAGCAGCACCACCGCCAGCAGCAGTGTCAGTGTCACGCCCACGCCCATGGATTACTCGCCCATACCGCACGAAAAGGAGCCATCTAGTCTGACCCTGGAGAGCATCATAGAGCCGGCGGAGCAAGAGCATGTAGATGCCAAACCAAAGGAGCAGCAGGAGGAGCAGCTAGAGGTGCAACTGCGAACCAAAGAGCCAGTTTTGAGGGAGTCTCCCCTGCACAATGGTTTCCATGCCCTGAGCAGATCTGCCACAGATCCCACGAATGCCACAACGCCCCTTCGAACCATCCGATTGCGAACTGTGGGCAAGCTCATCCTGCCTGAGTCCTTCCGGAATGATAGGAATAATAATACCAACTCCGCTGGCAACCACAACAACAACAACAGCAGCAGCAATAACAGCAGTCCCAGCTGGAGCACGGTCCAGGCCAAGCTGCAGACCCTGAATCCCATTGATGTGGCCGTCACAGCCCGCACCATTGGCAAGGTCAAGTCGCCGTTCATTGAAAAGCAGCAGGAGAAGATGTCGAATGGGACAAACACCAGCGACAGTGGCTCCGATTCGGGCAAGGAGAACTGCGCCTCCAATCATCAGCAGCAGGAGCAGCAGGATCAGGATCGCGACACAGCTCAGCGGGTGTCCGAGGTGCGCAGGAAGATCAACCGATTGGTGCAGCAGCAGCAGCATCAGGCGCCGCCCGCCGTCAACCGTCGACACACCACCGAGATCACCTCTGTGACTGTCTCCTTGGCCCGACCGCCCAACGTGGACGATCGCTATGCCAAGTACTTTGGTGTAAAGAACAAGGATAAGGAGAATGAGAGCTACAGCAGCACCACTCTGCTCAAGACCCAATCGCTGCCAAGTCAAGGACTTAGCCAGGTGGAGGCCACCAATGCGCATGTGCGGCTGCCCATCACGATTACAGTGCCAGCGGCGACAACGGCCAAGCGACGGGAGATGCTCAAGCGGACACGCCCCGCGTCCATGGATCACTATACCAGCGGCTGCATCAGTCCCACGTCCGCCATGCCAAGTCCAAAGCGTGCCCATTCCCCCAACAATCGGCTGAAGGCCGCCATTTCCAGCTTCGAGGATATTGTTGTGACGCCCGATGAGCTGCTGGCCGCTGGCAAGGATTTCAAGCGGCTGTGCGGCGAGATATTGGGCTGAAAGAAAAATTGTCTATTTTGGCCAAGCATTCAAAATTTTTCCAATTTTTCCCAAACCCACACACACACAACCTTGTCAACCCTCTTAAAATCCAGCGCTCAGTGTGATAGATGCGCCCTGAAAACCTATAACCTGCTCCGCGATTATCCCTTCGCAAATAAAATAAATAAAACTAAATAGAACGAACGAAAGAAAACACCATTTAAATCACCTGAAATGTGTAAAACGAAAACGAAGTAATAATAATAATAATAAAAGGCAAAACTGTATAATGAGTTAGGCTTTTGTATTTAAACCAAGAGACAGTTTTAATTCCCAATAAATGGCCCGTAAACAAGCTTCCAGTTAAACCCAAAATACCCATTATATAATATGCGAACTCCGCGCTCCTTTGTGCTTATATTTATACACTACTTTTTATTTACATTTAAAAACGAATTGTACCTTAAACGGAATTATTATATTGATGCGTATTGTATTACATTTATTATTATTATTATTGTAATATTTAATGAATAATGAAAGTTGTTAGACCGAAGAACCGAGAAAATAAATGCAAGAAATGTGCTAAAGAACTAGTATGGTCTCGAGAGCAAGAGAAGTTCCTTAAGGGGTTATCCGGGTTTTGAAATTTCAAAAAATGCATTTTTTTCAAACTTTTTTATATAATAGTACAAAGTGTCAGGAATGTTGTCCGAAAATTTCAAGTCGATCGAAGCAAAACTGTAGGAATGGGAGAAATTTAAAGCCCAGCGCGTCGTATGAGTCACAACTGGCAATTAAAACTTTAAACGCGTTTTTCTCAAAACCACTTTCTTGAAGTCGGTAGTCAAGATTTCTCGAAAACTACTGGACCGATCGACTTCAGATTTTCCACACTTCTTCTAGACATGTTTTTCTTGTCTCTGAACGAAGGATTTTTTATATCTTTAGTTAGAACCGATTTTATAACCCAAAATATGGCCAAAATTGACGTAAAAAGTGCCATTTTTCATGAAAAACGCTCCCAAAAATTCAATTTTTAATTTTTTAAAAAATCCTTCGTTCAAAGACAAGCCAGACACATAAGCTAACAGAAAAATTTTGGTTTTTTGATTTCAAATAAAAATTGACGAAGAAATCCTGCCTACCGCAAGGACATAATTTTTTTTATGGTTAAGTTCAACCCTCCCTCAACGGCTCATTTGTGAATATTTTTTGTTCAAAATTTTACAGAATTTAGTTCAAACCTTATGTATTAATGTAGAATAAATGAAATTTGCAAAATTGTCATAGGATCTTTTAAAAAAATTCTGAAAACAAGGCCTTTTTTTGTTGTTCTAAACCCGGATAACCCCTTAAGCTGAGTAAGTAGGAGGCATGTTTTCCTCTTTTTGCAAGTTGGCATGCTTTTTTACATGATTTCTGCCTGCCTTTTGAATGATTTGCTGCATTTCCAAGGGCACTAATTTCATTATTTAGCTCCTTAAACTTGAATTAATGGTTAAATAACTTGTTTTTTATAGGCAAAACCTCAGCTGAGCCCCTTAAAAGCATTCTCAAGACAGGCAAGCCCATGGTGGGCCTGGGCATGGGCATGGGTCGCGGCCTAATGCCCGTGGATCTCAATGCCGAGCTAAAGAATCGCCTCAAGCGTTCCACCCATGCCACTGTCTCTAATCTCCGCAAGTCGGCCACCACGGCAGATGCCACTCGCGGCGATGAGGTGGATAATCCCCAACGGAACTTGGCTCAAATCCTGAGGAATGTGTCCAAGGAGAACTATGCCACACCCAAGCACGATGATGCGGTGAATCTGGTTAGGAATCTGGCCACCTTGGGACAACCCAGAGCAGCGGCTTCCGGCGAAGATGTAGCTGGTAACTGCGCCTCCGCATCGGAGGGCGAGAGTTCAGGCGGTCGGGAGATTGAGGCCATTATCAAGAACAGCGCTGTGGCAAGACGTCGCCGGCAGCAGCAGCAGCAGCAACAGCAGCCACATCAGCCTGATGGGTGAGTCCTGGTGCACGTCCTGGTCCAGCATCCGCATCGCTACTCCCCCTCCTCCTCCGCCGTGCTGTGTGTGCTCCTAACCCTTAGCTACTAACCCTAATGATGGTTTTATACTCGTATACATTACATGCATCAAATGTGTGTGCTCCTCAAGACTGGTTCCCAAGAGTAAAACTAAATAAATATACAATTAATGCAGTTTATGAATGGAATTAATATTGAAATTTACATTAGTTAGACAGACAGTCAGTCCCTTTGTATCCAAAACATTTGTAAGTGTCGAGATTCTCTTACCTTTAATTAAATCGCATTTTCCGCACTCGAACGCGCTAAAGTTTCCTACTGAGAGTGCAGCCCGTGGCAAGGAGCTATTACTGGCCACATCCACAGCCAAATCCAAATCCAAGTCTACTGCAGCAGCCACATCAGCAGCAGCAGCAGCAGCCACAGTATCCGCATCCGCAGCAGCCACTGAAAGCGAAACCCTTTTACAAGCTTCTTCAACCGAAACACTTTGAACAAAATTAGAGATTAAGTTTGAAATTTGCATTGCTTACTTACCGTTTTGTGCAAAAACTAATAACTGATATATACACGAAAAACAAACTATATATATACTTGTTTAAAACAAACCTATTCAATGCCACAATATATTTTTACGTGTGATGCCAACAAAGCAAATTAAAACAAAAAAAAAGCGAAAATATTAATAAAGTTGACGGAAATTCTATCTAATTGTAGTTTTCGTTTTTTCCGGCCACTAACCGTTGCCTTTTACTAACTAAATGTTTAACTAACTGCATGGATATTAATTTTAAAATATTTATAAAATTTTGTTTGATATGAGGAACTGCCAAACCCTTAAAATTGTAGGAAATTTAAATTTCCGTTAAAAAAACGAAAAACTTGGCATAACTGAACGGAAATATGGGCAGCATTGGATGCTCATTTTTCCGTTCGATAGTATCGTTTGTATTTTACATAACCGATTTTACTTACCCTACATTTGACTTTACACAAGTCTGTTGCTCAGATGTGGTTCGAATATCAGTAGGGGTTTGAGTATCAGAATATAAGAAAATAATGAATTAGGGCCCGTGACAGCTGGTCACACTTAAAGTAGCTCTCTCTTGATTCCATAAGCAAAATTCTGTTAAACGTCCTCTCAATTTGCGAATTCTATAAGCAAAATTCTGTTAACGAGCTCTGTCGCTCTCCTTTTGGGAATTCCATAAGCAAAATTCTGTTACGGTCTCATTTTAACAGAAAATTCTGTTACTCTCATCTAGGGACCAGAGGTTGTTGTATCAGATGTGGTTCGAGTATCAGATGTGGATTTTTTAGGGGAAAATGTCTTGAGATTTTTTAGGGTGATATTCAACAAATCTTCAACAAACACACTGCTTTTTGTTGTTGTCATTTGAAAAAAAATATTGTGAATGAACGGAACCGCGCGTCGCGAGCATAGTTTTTCGTAGTTTTACGCGTTTTTTCGTGGTTTTTTTTAAAACATATCAACAAACAGCACGTGTATCGACAAAGTTACTAGAAACATATATATTTTACAATATATAGACCAGATTTTGTGAGGTTTTGAGTGTTTTATTGTTTTGTTTACATTCTTTGCGATCGCGCGCGTCTTTTCCGTGCCGGTTGTGCAAAAAACGTAGAGCGAGAATTGCAACAATTGCTGGCAATTGAAAGTGCAAGTGTTGGTGCCATTTACGTTGGATCGCTGAAAGGTTTGTACAAATTGCATATTTGTTTCCTTGAAAACTCCGTAAACCAGACGAAAGGTTCCCTTATTTCCCATTTTTTTTTGGCAATAGTTCCATCTGCCTGAGGGTATCTCGCTCTAGCTGCAGCTGTTGCTAGCGCTCTCCTTATCTTACCTGCAGCCGCCAAACAGAATACAACTGTAAATTGTTTTGGTTTTGTTTTCTTGCTTCCATTCAAACATTTTGCTGATTCACCGAAAAAAACCCGTAGCACTGAGACAAAATAGGGAGCAGTTATTAATATTTCAAATATAGGTATAAATAAAACATTTTGCCATTGAGAACAAGTACTAATTAGTAATTCAGTTTGTTGTACTAATAATTCTAATTGCAATGGGAATACATTAAAACTATTAAAGGTTTATTTAATTAAAAAAGGCATTGAGCTTGAAAAATAAATTAATTAAATAGAGTTTGAAAATTTCCTTTAGGTGTATTTTTTCAGCGTCGCAGATTTTTCGTAAAAATTGTGTTTTTTTCTTGTTGTTGCCATGCTGCGGACGGAATCTTGTCCAGTTATTGTTTTTGTTGTTGTTATTTTCGTGTTTACTTGCACTTGGACGCTCTATTGTTTCGTCGTTTTTTGTTTTTGGTCTTTTCTTATTTTTATCCAGTTTTTTCCCAAGTTATTTAAGTCCGACTCGCTTGAGCAGTCTTGTAGCCAAATTTTTGTTGATTTAGCCGACATTAATTATCAAGTGTTTAATGTCTATTGTCTTAAAATTCAAGGTCCCCACAAATCGGGGCATTATTTGCATAAATAAACCAACAAATCAAAACCAAAACAAATGTAAAATCAATCAAATCGCAATTAAAATCAAGCCTGCAGCAGCCGCACTCAAGGTGATTATTCCAATTCTTCTGATATTTATTGCATAATAATCCAAAAAAGCTTATAAAACTCGTAATACCAAAAATCACAGCTCATGAATAATCAAATGCGGAGCGAATCAAATGCTGAAGGAGAATGCCTTTCGTTTTCCATGAAATTTGCATAATTTCTGCCTCGTATTTTGTTGTTATTTTTTCTACAATTTCTTTATTTTCGTTTTGAGTTTTTTGGCCCGTGGCGAATTTCTTTTGGCGGTGCCAATATTTGATGGGGCGAGAAATGAAAATGAAATTAGTTTGCAATTTGTTTTATTTGGATGGATTTACGATTTAAATGGGGAGCGTGTCTGCCCAGAGCCACAATTAAATAAAACGCTAATCGGCTTGAATGCTTCCAGAGAAGCTGATTAGTTTCATATTTCAGCAATTTTGTTTATTCAAGTTGAAAGTATTGCTTGGATTCACTTGAATATGGAAAAGTTATAGCAGATCTATCGCCAAGAAATTAATACCTACATATTTTATTTCAAATGTGCGCTCAAACAGAAAGGGGATTAAAGAGAATTGAGGAGGCTTTGAATTGGAAAGAAATTATTGTTCATTTTTATTTGAATAAGTAGGTATTTGCACTCTCATTTCTCTTTACTTAACCCAATAAATACCACTTGGACATACTTTTAGCTAAGAGCTCTTATCTAAAACTCTATATGAATGCTCTAATTACTAGGAGTTTTATAGAGTTTACATAGAAACCTTGGATAAACAAACCTTATAATCTTATTAGGTTCCATATTGACTTCTTTACTATGAAAATATAGCCATAGTTTACTTAGATAAGAAGTTGCTTCTTCGATTTCCTCTTTTTATGGCTAAATGCTTGCTCGTTTGTAAACAAAACAACGATTGGCCATAAATAGACAGGCTCTCGAGTGCTGCCGCTTATCGCTCTGGATTTTTTATGATAGTCAAGTGGCACTCGGCGGGGTTAATTTCACTCACTTGGGAAAGTGTTCGATTTGATGTGCATTTCCATTTCCACAGAATGCACAACGCCCAAATATCTGGGGAATACAGATAGCAGCACGTCTGCAGGGAAAACGTGAGTCCAAACGCTAATGAGCCAAAGCAAATAAACAAATAGGGGATTGAAACAAAGTTCTGCGAGAGTGGTTTGAGTCTAAAAATTAGGGGCCTCGCCCACGATCCACAAGAAAAAAATATTATAAACTTGGGAAAATGTATAGGTTTTAATTAAAAATAAAAAAACTTATGTATAAATAGAACAATCTTCTTGAAGACTTGGATCTATTAAGAGTTTAATTTAAAAAATAAAAACAAGAAAGGAAACTCTTCGGGAAACCAAAATTTGTATCTTTGTCTATACAAACGCTTATTTTAAAATAAGTTTTATTAATGGCTTTTATCTAAGTGCACATGGCGGGAGCTCCGGTTCGGATCTGTCGGCTGGCAATAATTGAAAAATGCCGCCACCGCCATCGTCGTCGTCGTCGCCGCGTGATCGAATGATGCATTATCAAACGGAAAGCTTTGCGGCTGATCCAATCCGATCCCATCCTCCCACCCCTCGTCTCGTCTATTCAAATGGAGAAACATTTCCATTTAAAGGCATGTTATTTGATGCTGCGTTATGGGGCTCTGTTGTTGGGAAATGCATTTCCAGATTACACAACAACCATTAAACTCACATATTTCCAAGGCACCGCACCGATCCATTAATTATGTTTTCGCTTCGGTTTGTCTAGAGAGCGTAAAGTTCTTCTGGCCGGGGCTATAAATATTATTTTTATTGGAAAATCTATGCAGCCGCGACGCTATGCGATGCCAGATGAAGTTGTTGAAGTTTTATGGGTCTGGGTCCTGAACAACCTGCAACCGATTCCAATTCCCGATGCAATCGGGGTTACACGAAAAGTTGTCTAAAATATTACACAATCTGTGGGGAGCTAGTACATTGACTCTGTTGACTCCTTTCCCTGTTTACATAGCTGCTTGTCTGACGGCACTCGAAAAAAGGTTAAAGTTACTTTTAGGTATCTTTGAGATATAAAATAAATATGTATTATTAAGCCCAAAATGTTTACAATATCAGAATAACAATATATTCCGACCTTTTCCCTTTAGTTAAATATTCGAATTCCCCTTCAATGTCAAGTTTTTCGGTGACTGTATGTATCTCTTTGGTTACGGTTTGCACAGCTGTTTTATTTGTATCTGTATCTCTCTTTCCTATATGTACCCTTGCATTTGTGTCTGGCGCTGTTACTGTCTGACAGCTTCCACCGCTTCGCTTCCTCAATTTGTCTGGGCAAGTGTTTTTTTTTTTTTTGGGCCAATTGGCCTGCTGAGTTGGTCCATTCAACTAGCATTTAA